CAGAGGTTTTTGCTTGCAGGGATCTTGCTTTAATCGTGGAAGAGAAAGGATTTTAATTGGAGCAACCTTTGTCTATGAGTAAATGCGATTCTACTGATCCATTTTGAATTGAGCGCAGATATATACAACAGCCGTATGCACGCTGGGAAACATCTGCGAATCCATGTATTTCGCAGTCATGTTTCGGGGAAAATCTTACATATCGGGGTATGGCGATTTGGTTAAAATTTTGAAAGTCAGGATAAATAGATTGCCAACGATCTATTAATTGTTGAGGCAGTATTTTGTCCCAATCCAAATGAGTCACCCACAGCTCCTGCACAAAAGTTTTGCATCTTATAACCACTAGTCCTAACAAGCCAAGTATGTCATATAGGCGTGCAATAATTGAGAGAATATTCCTTTTCGTCATAGCGTTAGTTTTCGGCAAATCGAACGGAAAGCAAAATTCATCCAATTGGGGCCTCCACGACATTCCTAAGGTTTTTGTGATATCTTTGCTGTTTAACTTGAATCGATGTTCTTTTATATTATCATCCAACGTGCTAAGATTTCATTTGGCTAACTCCAATCTGGCACAAGACAAGATTCCAGTAACTTGATCAATCTTCAATTTTAAATCCTCAATGCAGTCAGCTCCTCTAAGGAGGTCATCGACATACATCTCTTTAGATATAATTTCAGATCCTATAGAAAATTCTTTCCTATATTTCTCTGCTATGAAATACAAACTTCTGATGGCGAGAAACGGTGCACAAGCAAGCCCATATGTGACAGTATTCAACTGATATAATTTCAACGGGTCAGAAATATTGTGCCTCCACCAAATCAACTGAAACTTGCGGTCCTGGGGATCTACAATGAATTGCCGATACATTTTTGTTATATCAGCTGTTAGAGGATGCCTATAAAACCTAAATGAAAGCAGGGTTAAGATGAGGTCCTGCTGAACTGTCGGTCCAACCACTAAAATGTTATTTAATGATACTCCTGTCGACGACTTCGCAGATGCGTCAAAAACTACACGCAACTTTGTTGTTGAGCTGTCTGGACGCAGTACAGCGTGATGCGGGATTACATACCGAGGTTGATTTGAGTCAAAACAAGGAAGGACGCTATAGTCGAGTACCTCGACTATCAGATACCCGTTACTCAAAGGGAAATGGAGATATGCAAGCAGCAAAGCGAGATTAAAATGCGCCACCTACCGGCGGTAGACAGATTTAAGCGTTATGGGCGTTAGAGTGCGCGTGGCAATTTTGTATCGATATCAATCGATAGGTATTGACGAGACCAATACATTTCAGTTAAAATTTTCTATCTAGTATCAAAACTGTAGGAGTTACAGTTTTGGGCGGTTTGTGGGCGTTAGAGTGGGCGTGGCAGTCTACTGAAACAAACTTGCGCTGCGTAAGAAGCTTAGGAATCTGTACGCCAAATCTCAATAGCCTAGCTCTCATAGTTTCCGAGATCTCAGCGTTCATCCGGACAGACAGACGGACAGACGGACAGACGGACATGGCTAGATCGACTCGGCTAGTGATCCTGATCAAGAATATATATACTTTATGGGGTCGGAAACGCTTCCTTCTGCCTGTTACATAATTTCCGACGAATCTAGTATACCCTTTTACTCTACGAGTAACGGGTATAACTATCTACTGGTTGCATGTGCCCCACATCAAAATATCCTTGCATGAAATCAGAACACATTTTTTTTATCGGGTAAACGTTGTAAACGTCGCTCTATTTGCCAAAACCGTTGCTTGGCAATATCCACTGAACTTCCCAATTTTTAGGTAGATTTTGAAAAGGGAAGCCGAACTTGAACTCGCCTGTTCTCGAGAAAAGCAGAGTTTTTACAGAAGTGGCGATCACATTCTTCCTCTTCAGTTGTGTACTGGTTTTGAGATGATTCTGGAAACGATTCGATTTCCCAAAACCTTTTTAAATTTTCATTCAGCTGTTGGGACTGCGAGATTTTGCACATATGAACATTAGCCTTCGCCCTAGATTGCGGATTGTCAACAACTTGTCCACCAATAATCCATCCAAGTGTAGTGTTAAGTAGGTATGGCAGCCCAGGCCCCAGTGATAACTTTCCGCCAGTGAGCAATTCGAAGAATTCCTAGGTGCTTAGTAAAATGTCAATTTTTTGTGGTTTAAAAAACAGTGAGTCAGCCAAATCTATTCCGTCAGGGATTGACCACGTTGATGATTCTATTCGAGTGGCGGGTTGAGTCAATGCTATTGTCTTGGTAATAGCACATTGCAATGACCATTCATCAGCAGACAAACGTGAGCGTATGGTCGTCGAGGCTGAGAACTGAAGTTTTGCTGTAACATCTCCTATACCAGAAACTTCAAAATGTTGACGCTTTCGCTAAAGTTGTAATTTGTTGGCCAAAGTATCTTTGATAAAGTTAATTTCCGAGCCAGAATCAAGCAAGGCCCTTGCCGGGTGGAACATTCCGTATTTATCCTGGATAAGAACTATAGCGGTTGGGATAAGAGCTCGATTTGATTTACGCGAAAGACATGCGACTACTTGTGTGGAACAACGAGGTTGCTCGTTTGTCTGTTTGTCTGTTCTACATTTGGTTGAGAAATTTCTTTTGTTTCACTCCTGCGATGTAACGAAGAATGGTGCAACCCACGACAAGTCCTACAGTGAAATTTCGAAGGACAGTCAGCTGCGATGTGGGCCTTTTGAAGGCAGTTTAAACATAGCGCTGCCTGTCTGACCCAAGCATGTCGCTTCTCATGTGGAAGTGCAACGAATGAAGGGCACGGTCCTAGATTGTAATCTGTAGAATCGCATTTTATACAACTGCCTCTAGCCGTTAGGAATGCCTTTTTGTGGGGGTGATTTTGTTTTTCTGGACGCTTATCATACTGCTTAAACTCCTGGCCTGGCTTTGCGCTGCATTCTAGAAACTGGCAATGCCTACCTAATATGTTGTAGAAATTATCCCAAGCTGGAACCACGCAACGCTGCCCCTGTCTCTAAAATTTCTCGAAGGGATGAAGAATCAGATTTTCTTATTTGAGAAATGGAAAAAAGGCTAGAGACATGTTCGAGTAAGATCAACACTTTCTTATCGTATCGTTCCTTAAGGCGCTCCAATGCCTTTTTGTAATTTTCTTCCGATACTTGAAATGCAGCCACTACACTCAATGCAGGACCAGAAAGACATCCGAGTAGATACGTAAACTGTCAATATCAGAAAGTAAGACATCATCATGAACCATATGATTGAAGGCTGCAATAAAACGGTTGTACTCGCCATATTTTCCGTCAAATTTTGTGAGTTTTAGAGAAGGTAATCGATTATGGGAACTGGCCCCTAAGCAGGTGGAATTTATCAAGACGGAGTCTTCAGGGCCATTGCGCCTGTTAGCATTTGCACGTTTTAAAAGCGTCGATTTTGTTGCTATAAAATCTGGCTCAAACTGATCGCGAGAATCTTCTTCCAAGTCTATTTTTTCAATTTGCTGTTGAACTTGACACAATTGCCTAAAGTGCGATTCCAAAAGGGCCAGGTGACACTCTGCCGATTCAGCGTCCATTGCTGTGTCTGCAACCGCTCGATTCAAAGTTCGTTGCATGCAGCTAGCTGTTCTTCTACAGATGGTTTGGTCATGTTTGCAAAGAGATGAAAGATGAGTCAAACTGTAAGGAAAATACGTTTGAGAGGCTTTAACAAGTTTTGAAACCCTACAACAGTTTTAGAGTAACTGCGAAACTTTTTGATGTAAAACTGGGGTACAGCAAACCTGCGTGTTCTGAGAAGCTTTTACGACATAGGTTAAATAAATCACACACCCAAAAAAATTGAGAACGGAAAAAACCGAGATCGGTTCTTCTCGGTTTTAGTATTGTGTCTTCTCACATTTTTCTTCTCGGTTTCATGACGGAAGCGATGTCGATTTTAGTATTCCGAACTAAAATCAATCTCGGTTCTGTGGTTGTTGACGAGGGACGTGAGGGGAAGACGTAGAAAAAATGACAGTGACAGGAGAGTAGAGGAGAGAGACCAAACTCATGATACAGCGGACGATTTATACTTTAGTTAACAATAACTCCTTAATTAAAATATAAACAAAAAAAAGTAAGGATGCCATGTTGTTTATTTCAGATATCTTAACAATATTACAAATTAATATAACAACTTTTTCCCTTGGGTGACCTATTATATTAACAAAAAAATTAAAAACTGAGTGCATTTTGTTCCACAAAAGTGATGATACATTTAAGAGCAATCGCGCACGTATTTGTTCTGTTTTGACAATTTAGATATTTTAAGTTACATTTTTCTTTTTAAAATAATCTTACAGTCTCAAGTGCCAAACGCAGTTCCAGTTAAAGAAAAAGTAGCGACTGAATTTGTATATGAAAGCACCAATAATGTGCTAAAACAGGTAATCTCATCTTACTCCTTTTCCGAAAACAAATTACATATGTAATATTTGCTAACAAAAAATTTTATATATTTCATAGAGCTTGCGTTCCTTAATGCAATCGTCAGAACTGGGCCGCGATTTACTCAACAATAAAGTGTTGACGGAAACGCACAGGAATTTTTTAATAAATATAATCACAGAAGAGATTTTGCGCAACAACATTGTTGTTCAAACCGCAGATTTTTCAAGGTTGTTGGACGAGATTATAAGCATTTTTCCTTGCGAAGCGCAAAGCCGGGTAATACTTAAACCACAATCAAAAACCATTTTAGTTTTACTTTTAAACATTTTACTTTTATCTTAAGGACTATTATTTTATTCCTCGGGGAAAAAAAAACATAGTAATCCCAGTGGAAAATTATATATTATATTATATTCTAAGTATAAGAACAGTCGTCGCAAAGTTTTATCTACATAGCAAAGATGATGAAAATATTCCACACGATTTTGAAGACGACGACAAGGGACTATCACTGTCATTAAAATTGCAATTAAAGAGAGACTCATCGGATTGGAGCGAAGTCTGTAGACTCTGGAAAAAATATGTAAAACTCGCTAAGAAGATGTAAAGTCGCTAAGCAATTTAGAATTCATGCAAGACTGGCCAAAATTAGGTCAGTCTTAAGTTTCTTCTTTGGTAATATTACATACATACGTTTATTTGATTGTCTGTGTAGTTAGGTTTCTTAGTGGTGATTGTCCCCTTGCATTCGTTTGTATTGTTGCTTTACGGTTCCTATTTTTAAAATTATAAGAGTGATTTATGTACTGTATATTTTTCCATAGATCGAGATTGACTTCGATTTCCTTTACCGAAGAAAGACAAATCTCCTGTTCGATAGGTGGAACAGCTTTAAGGACAAACTTCTGATATATTTCAAACGGCACATCCACAACGAAGACTGCAAGCGACAACTACTTGATGTAGAACGCCAACGTTGGTAAGTTTTCTACTTAAGCAAAAAATGTTGTCATAACTACATAATTATTATTTTACAGATGCCCAGGATTACTTGACCCTTATTTTGCTTAATGCCGCCGACATCTCGGATCTTGAATCAAAACGGGAAAAGGAACCAAAAACCGACAACGGCGTATGCTCAACTTTCGATGGTACTACGGCTTTCAAGCTTCAATGACTATGAACGTCGTATCATCAATATAGTCAGGGAAAAGTATTTAGAGGGATCAACAATACAGCCATTTATAATTATTCACGCATCGTCTGAGCGACAGCCATTGAAAAGTATGGATCTTTAAGATATTTGTGGTGCATGAGGTTTGAGGCGAAATACAAGGATTCCAAGATTTATTTTCACAATGTAAATTCAAGAATTAATCCTCCCTATACTTTAGCCATTAAATGTCAAATTAAGTTTGCAAAGTTTCTGACGGACCATGCCAAATCTATTGAGCCGTATTTAAGACTTACATCAAAAGAGCAAAGTATTTTGAATAATAATCTTGCTTTAGAAATAAATAAAAACCATGGGGAGTGTAAAAACCTTTAAATTTTATAACCAATTAGAAATAAGGCCACTACTTATAATATTAATTATTTTTTAGGTTTAAATATGAATAATTTTATGTTATTTAAAATCAAGCAATTTCTAATTCACAAAATAAATGTAAGTGAAGTTTATGTTTATTGTGAAAAATTAAGGTAGAATACAATTGTCATTTAAGATCATACATTGTAAAAATTCCATTAAGAAACTACATTTTTAATTTGACAGACTTTGTAACGCCCCCCCTCCATGTATATACCCTTAATAATGACATTAAAGCCGTAAGGCTAAAATATATGCAAATATAAAAAATTTCGCATTTTTATTGAGAATGGGTTCTGGTTCCCAGAACGGTTCTTCTCGAAATCGAGATTGATGCGATGCTGAAACTGAGAACGATTCATACCGAAATCGAGATCGATGCGATGCTGAAACTGAGAACGATTCATACCGAAATCGAGATCGATGCGATGCTGAAACTGAGAACGATTCATACCGAAATCAAGATCGATTCGATGATAAAACCGAGAACGGTTATTCTCAAAATCGAGATCTATTCGATGTTGAAACCGAGAACGGTTATTCTCGAAATCGAGATCTATTCGATGTTGAAACCGAGAACGGTTATTCTCGAAATCGAAATCGATTCGATGTTGAAACCGAGAACGATTCATACTGAAATCAAGATCGACCATTCTCAAAGGCCCGTTCTCAAACCGATAAGACTTCGATGACGATTTTAGTATTTTTAGTATGAGTCGTTCTTGGCTCACTTTTGAGATCGAAAATACTGAAATCGAGAACGCTGAGAACGGGTTTTTCCCTGAGTGCACCTATATATCTAGATATAACCAGACTTTTCTTTTTTATTTGTATTATTTGCGTCCGAAATATCAAATAACAAGTGAACTGGGTTAAATCTGCCGATTTAAAAGCTTACGTGCTCCAGTAAGTCTCTCTGGTGTACTGGTGACGTAATGGTGTGATGCCGTAAAAGTCCAAGTTGAGATAACTTTCGAACTGATCCGCTTGGATTGTAGCTGCTACTGAATCCCTTGTGATCCCTCGCAGCCCAATCGTTGAGGTTCAGGACAGGTGTCCTGTCACGGTCGCCAATGTTTAATACGCTGCCTAATGGGAGGCAGCCAAAGGTAAAATTTGCCCCCGTGCAGTGGCTGTTGTTATTGCACCGCCTCTGCCCCTGTGCAGATGGCGGAGCTTGATCCAAAAATTAATACATTACAATGTACAATATTTCCGATAAAGAAATAAATAATATCCCCGAAAAAATGGAAATACCCTAGGCGAAAATATCACTGTCGAATTAACCAATCAATTACATTCAATATACCCAGCAGTTCCAATAATTCGGGACGATTCAATTTAGAATGGGGGAGTATATGACACATTATTTAGGGGCTCTTATCCAATTTATAAACAACTTTGAGCCGAGAGCTAATTTCCAAATAACTCTGACAGACCCGAGATAAATCCGCGGTCAGCTATTTCTGTGAACCAGGCCTCCAAATCATTCCCACCCAGTTCAATTTCACGCAGTCCGAATCAAACGGATGCTGTCAACATCCAAACCGATATTGTAAACAATCGGAGTCCCAAGCGAGCCCTGAGTCCGCTAACGAAAACGAAAAATCCACAAAACGAGCCCCGAGACCGCTAGCGTAAACAAAAAGATTCCCAAAGCGGTCCCCAAACTCCGCTTATGTAAACACCAATTTCCGGCCAAGATTGGACTTCAAATTTAATTGGCAAATTGCATCATCCTATTTTCCGACTCTCTTGAGTCATTCTCTTTATCAATTTTTGGGGATAAATCTCTTAAGCCGAGGTTTGATTATTGATCATTGAACTAGAGAGCAGGCAGTCCGTTTTTGAGGTCCGAATCGAGTAGTTGAATAAATTGAGTGAAAGTAAAAGAGCAGTGAATAAAATAAGTTCAACCTATTGTGAAAATTGTAATAGTGAATAATTGATTATAAAAAATATAAATAAATATTTTAAATTAATTCACTAGTGAGAAACTTAATTTGCATATGACCGTTGCATTTATCTGCGCACAAGGATCGACGGCAAGTTCTTATCACATTTGATAATTTCAAAGACAAAAGTCGCGACGACTAAGGCACTCTCGCTACCGAAATTTGTGTGCATATTATTTTTGTGTTATGTGGGGCGAGTTTGCTATGCAACGTGTGGTACAAAATTAAACACAAGCTTATAAACTTTATCATTTCGACATTCTTTTGCACAAATTCGCAAGTAGTGATGAATTGGATAAACCTACAATCATCAGAATTTAAATTGCCAATAGAGTATCTATAATGAAAGCGCAATCGGTTAATGTCTCCTGGCGACATGTATTCGTCTGAGGAAATCACCTACGATTGTAAATAGGCATCTGTAAATGACGTAACAAAGACATCCAATGAGATTGAGAGAATAACTTTATTAGTCCAGAACCTGTTAGTATATTTTGATCTCTGTCCAAATTCGTATATTAAGCTCTACAAATTCCAGAAAAAAGCATGGAAAGACGAAGCATAGGTACTTAATAATCTTAAGTACCTATGCTTCGTCTTTCCACGCGTATTCCTGGAATTCTTAGAGCTTAAGCTTATGAAGTTAAAATTTTTATTTCAAACAGAAAATAAAACCCACATAACTCCACAAGGGAAACTATTCAAGTTCCTTGTTTCGATTGCTCAGAATCAACATCTTTTATTTCGCTTCTGGTCTAGAACGAGGAACCTGTTAAACTATACGTTTGGGTCGCGACTCCGTGGTACAGAGAGAATAGCAATTTGGAGAAGCAACGGAGCCCACAAGAGGAAGTGGGCTTGCCATTCAAGGCCGTTGGGAGATAATAAGTCTATCAAATACCAGAGTCCTAGGCTGCAGGATCAAGCTAAAGACGTCCCAATTGCCGGTTTGACCGGGAAATATTCAAGCTAAGGAGAGAAAATAGATTTTTTTTCACACCAACGAGATCGGACTCGCCGGAGAAAGGGAGTGTCCTGCCTTCAAGGGGAATCATGGAAACATTTATTCGCTCAGGTGGATCTTCATCAGTGAGGGCAAATGGCCAGGGACGGGCGACTCTATTTCAACTGGCTGAGTGCAGTGCATCGGAGCTAAATGGACGCAGAAAGCTTCTTCACAAATGTATCCAGTCAGGAATCTAGACAATGGAGCAGGCACCAATAGCTCAAAATTCACAGACACGGCAGCCCACAGCGAGTCAGAGGATTCTGTTTAAGGTAACAGTCGTCCGTCTCTACTCCAAAGGAAAGGAAGTATGTTACTATGCCCTTTTAGTTACTATGCCCTCAATATGACAAAAGAGAACAGAATGGGACAAACCAATAAGTGACGACGACTTGTTTCCGTGGAATTGATGACTAAGCCGTTTGACCGAGGTCAGCAAAATTAGAAGTGGAATTATTTCATGCCTCAGTCGAGCTGCACGTATTCTGTGACGAGCTTGCCTACGCGACCGTCGGATACTGGCGCATACCCACTAAATCTGAATGACCGAATACGTTTACAATAAGAAAAACGAAGTGTTCCTTAATGAAGCTATCCACGGCGCCCAGGCTTATGCTGCAGGCGGCTGCAAGGGCATGACCGTACGTGGGACACCGAATCAACAAAATCTGGGAGGCAACCTCAATTGATGATACTGGATACCGACAGCGGAGAATCCCGCAGATTTCGGAATAAAAATTGGAAGCACAAGGAGGGAATCTTTCTGGCTTAGAGGACCAAGGATTCTTTAAGACAACTCCAGAGAATGGAAATATAAGAATCAATCATAATATGCGTTCTATCTGTCAACTTGGAAGTTCCCGTCGACACTATTATTGCTAAGATAAGGAATTTGTTGGAAAAGTTTTCCTACCGGAAAACCCCAAAGAAACCCTTCTTGAAGGTTTCGGAGCTTCCATATTCAGGATCTGGATTTTCATGATGGACGTCAGGCCGAGATGACCAGTAAATTTTGAATGTTTTCGCCCATGCCAGACCCAAAGGGAGTGATGTGCAACGGTCGCATTATAATGCCTTTGCCGTCTAGGAGGGATCCATGAGAAATGGAACCACCATAACGAGAACACTATCTTGGCCGAGATATGCCGAAAGTATTGCATACCGCATTGCCCTCAGGTAGTTCGTCGGGCTGCGACAAAGAACTTCTGCATGGAATCCTCAGATGGAGTAGCTCCCTCGATATAGACTTTCCCCATATGTGCGCTTTTTCTCTTATGTAGGAATCGACTGCATGGGACCGTCCCTAATAGTAAGACGAAGAGAAACAGAGAAGTGATGGATCTGCTTCTTTACATGTCTGATGATTAGGGCTGCCCATCTACAGATCGCCAAGGACCTGACTACTGACACTTGCAAAAGAGTTCTGCACAACTTCATTGCAGGGAACCAAATATGTAAGCGCTGGACGATAACTGAGTGATGGAATACGAAAGCTCAACAACAGTAAGATCGCCAATGACATGGCGACCGAAAATTATGAACGGATTTTCAATTGCCCACTTAACCAAGGTAGTAAGGAGCGTTAAACGGGCCATCTTACATATTCTGTGGAGTGTAAATCTGAAGTAGGATATCTTATACAGCATAATATGCAATGCTGAGAATATATAAACGCTCGGCTGCTCACACGTATTGCTCTAAATGACACATCAGACGATCCCATACCGACAACCGACAATCATTTCCTTTTAGGTACTGCCAGTTCCATCCCGACGCAACACGCACTGGAGGAGGTCTTTTAGTCAGAACCTGTTAGTATATTTTGATCTCTGTCCAAATTCTTATATTAAGAAACAGTTAAACATATAATGCTCAAGCAGTCCAGGAAAACTCGTGGAAAAACGAAGTGTAGGTACTTAATATTATAAAGCTAATAAAGTTAAAATTGTTTTTTCAAATAGAAAACAAAACTCACATAACTCCACACGGAGAACTATTCAAGCTCATTGTTTGGAGTTAAAACATCGATACTGCAACTTAAAATGCTTCGCTCTCTACGGATATCTCACACCTCGCCGGAAATCAAGAAATCAAGGATAAAAATATTTGATAATTTCATAATTTTCGCCTTACTTGTCAAGGGTTGAAGTAGGACACTAAGCGTTCTACGAATAGGAGGTCAAGTTACTAGAGCACCAATTCCTATTGACGCGAAATATCCCCTGCTTTTCTTAAAGGACACATTCACATTTGGGGTCTCAAATGAGAATCAACTGGCATCGTCTGTAGTGAGGTAGTGCACTGCAACCATTGCAAGGCCAGAGATATTCGTGTTGTCGATATTCATACGGCCAAAAGAGTTCAACGACTCCCAATCTTCAAGATGGCACATCTGCCAATCCAATAATATGCTTGATAGCTTGCCCACCTTTTAACGTGCGGAGAATGTTTGGACCTTGTTATACACGTTACTCATAGGGTATATTAAATTCTTTGGAAAGTTTATAGAAGGTAGAAGAAAGCGTTTCCAACCCTATAAAGTATATGAATTCTTTATCAGTATCCCTAGCCGAGTCGAGTAAGGGGTACCTAATAATCAAGGTCATCGCCTATAGCAATTTCTCTTGTTTTGGTTAAAACTGTGGGAGTAACTCGTACTTCCTGGAAGTTCTTTTCTTATTGGAAGCCTTCCCTATAAAAGGATTCAAAGGCATTTTTTTCCGTAATTTTAGCTCTTTGCTTTGAGCTGGCTAATTTACGGTAATAAAGATGTGAAGATTTCTAGAAAAAAAAAATTTTTACTTAAGTTTATACATTTTTATTGTGTGGATCTTCAATACAAACTAGTCTTCTTCATGATCCTCAGAAACTCCTCCTGGTTGACCTCACCGTCGTTGTCTAAATCGGCTTCGTCGATCATCTCGCGTAATTCCTCGTCCGTTAGGGTTTCGCCCAGTTCGCGGGCCACCCTTTTCAGATTCCTAAAGGAGATTTTCCCTGTCTCGTCGTCATCAAATAGTCGAAAAGCTTTCAATATCTCCTCCTTAGTGTCCTTTTCAGCCATCTTCATAGTCATCAGGTGCAGAAAGTCATTAAACACAATCCGTCCGCTGCAGTCCTTGTCAATCTCGGCGATCATTCGCTTGATTTCCTCCTTTTTCGGCTCAAAGCCCAGAGCTCTAATGGCCACCTTTAGCTCTTTGACCTCAATGTAGCCAGTGCATTCATTGTCAAACAGATCAAAGGCCTCCTTTATGTCTAACTTCTGCGCCTCTGACAGCTCGAACTTAGGCCCAGATTTCTTGCGGCCCTGTTGCGTAGCCCGTTTGACTGGGACAGCGTTGGTTACGCTGTCTGAGGTGGTCTCCATGTCTGCAAATTATTGAGCTACTTTCCTATTTTAATTCGGGGAAGTTTTGAATTGTTTTGTAATGAGTTCTTTGAATTTAATAACTCACCTAACGTCAAAATAGTAGTCGACTTGATTGTAAGCTACAAACAAACTGCTTCTACTTAAGCGTCCTCTATAGCTCTTCATGTTACTACTGGCTGCAACTTCACTTTTCACTTCGCATTAAATCCAGTTTCCACGGCGCTGTTCCGACGACTTGTCTTGTTCTTGTTGCCTTCTTGTTCACATGGTGCAGGTTGACTGATTCTTTGATAACTAACTGATGTTAATGGATTAACTTCTCGTGATCGCCTGAACCACAAAAAAACAACAAGTAATGGCATGAAAATTTCAGACAAGCGTCACTTACAGATGCGCATCAGCATTGACTGAAAAAGCACAAAAGTTTTAACATTGCCTAATAAATACGCTGGTTTCTAAAATAAAAAGTACTGTTGATATTTTTTTAGATTAAATTCCAAAAGACCAGATCTCGAAAAATTTAATCTGTAAAGTGTGGACTTAAATTTGTTCTTCCCATGTTTCCGCTAAAAGAATATGAGAAGATATTTCTGTGCTAACTTTGTCATATTCAACAGTTTTACATAAATATAGAACAAATAAGTTAAAGTATGCTTTATGGGCACTTATATCAAACTATAAATAATTTTGATATAAGTTAAAAATCAATAAGTTTTAACATTTTTAAAATTTGCACACTGCCGCCTAAAATTGCTGTTGCAAACGGTTAGAATTTGTGGAAATTCTCGTGGCGTTACTGGTTGCCCACAATATTTAGTTTATTTTTTCGGAAAACTCAATTCGCTCGATTTCTCCCTTCGGTTACGGTTTACTCTTGCCGATCAGCTGCTTTTGCTTCACCGATTCTTTATGTGAAGAAGAGGGTATACTGTGTAGTTTCCGGTGCAGAAATAACTTGCGGATCTTCGTATTTTGGATGGTGAATGGATCTCTGTAGGAGGAGGCTATTAACAAGCTCATTTGAAATGCTGCAATTCAAAATGCCTGTGAAGGCAAAAACTGTACGATTTTGTTGATGCGTGACGAACCAGCTAGCCATAAGAGAGAGCGAGAGGAAAACAGGCGGCTAAAAATATCAGATTTCGTGAGTGAGCTCCGTTGAAAGCCGTTAGCCGTTTGAACTATGGCTGTGGTTCCTGCTGAAGTGCTGTGTAAACAAAAAATTTAAAACGGAAGAAAGCCCAACAATCCACAATCCACGTGCAGATGAAAAATAACGCCTAATCCAATATGAGGAGGGAACCCCAGTACTGTGGGGTTTGACCCACAGGATGCAATACCACAACAGGACAAATCCACAAATGAATAGAAGTGCTGGAGGTGATCCAGTGGAGAAGGGAAGTGAAACTTCGCTCCCTAAATAAAGTTCCTGCCGGACGTGTCCTTGCAAAGAAATCCGGCTCTGGCCAACACAATATAATTAAATTGTAATAAAATAGATATGTTTTTAGCAGGACCACCAGTATTACGGTCCCCGATGAGCTCTCCATTGGGAAATCGCTGGACTCTACCACCACCAGCTACTTGGCAGCTAAAGCGCAGCTGGAGGACGCGCTGGGGGAAGAGGTACCCGACATATTTTATTCCCAGGTAAGTTGCTTATGCCTAGTACTCAGATCGGCTAAATGTTTCACTAGTCGAAAAATCTTATTCTATGTAGTGTGACCGATGTTTTTAAAGTTCAACCGCAATGCATGCGGCATGGTCTTACTGTCAAGCAGCTGGGCTTGTTGCCAAACGGAAAACAAATCAATTAGAGCAACTTAAAAGAGAAGAGTCTGCTGGTGCACAAAGTTATTAAAATAAAAATAAATGAGTGAAATAATTGAAAATTCTCTAGAGGAGCTCCTCCTGCTCTTCAATTATTCTGCGGATTTGCCCCGATGTGGTATCGCTTCCTGTCGGTCAAGTCCCACAATAATGGGCAACAGCTTGGATTAGGAGTCCTTTTTCATCTGAACTGACCTCATTTAGCCATTTATGGTGTTTTTCTTCCATTTTTTAATTTCAAATTCCACACCGCTTCTGCACGAAGACCGCCAAAGATTAAGTTTCTTATTCTTTGGGCCGCGGCTAACGGCGTTCATCGAAAATTTACTCGCGATATCTGGTATTTTTTCTGGTATTTCCTTAGCTCATCTGAGTACCGAGCTAAAAAACAGGCCCGACGAAAAGCCTTAGCCGCCGGTTTGCCTCTCGCTCACTTCTATGGTTAGCTCGCAGTTTTCGTCGATGTGAGTTCTATGCTTTAATTGATGTAAGATTTGTTTAATATTAATATCATTGTAGGGAGGAGGCAAAATGGTCGCCAGCTAAAGGAAAGCTCCAAAAGCCATCACTAGCCATTGTCAGGATGCCGGCTACTTCCTTCAGCACAAACAGAACAACCCCGTTCGGCTCCCACACCCTGAAGGTCATCTTGGCATATTGGGAATCGAGGCTGAACACCATTCCTCGGGAAGATGGTGCCGAGGTAGAGAACACAATGACTATGCTTTAGCTACTATTTAATATAACTAAAAAAACCCTGAACGTTCCAATTATTTTTATTTGAATTTAAAATTTAATTTTAATACCCTATTCACACAGAGGGGTTTCCGCTTCAGCGAATGTGTTTAGCAAGAGATATACACGTGCTAGAAAGAGAAGGGAAAGTTTTTTTGAGAAGGAAATGTATGTAAACGGCAAACTGCCGTTGGAGCATTCCAACTGCTAGGAGCCGAGTAATTTATTTCATCTTGAAAAGAAATATTAATATGATTTTTATTTAGGAAATTACTAATCTCAAGCTTTTGTCCTTCTCGGAAAGACCTATCACCTGTTGCACCGAAACGTTCATTGTTAATCTGAAAGGCTCATCCAAATTCTGAAATTGTTGCCTAAAATAAGGGATGTAGTCAAAAAATTCAGTAAGGTGTTATAAATACTTAAAAGTCCTTATTATAAAATTTCACCCTTGATCTTTCTGATCATTATACATTCTAGCGCTAAAATTGTATTAAGTTCTCTGTTGTTTTTCCTTTTTTTCGGTGCAACCGAATTTGCACGTCCTCTCCCTTCGGATACGGTTAGCAAGTCCGACCAGCTGTTAGCTCTAGGACTCTGAATGCGAACAAGGATCCGCTTAAAATTTCAACAGCTCTGCTGTGTGTTGAGGCTATTTTTTGACTTAAACGTATCAACGCACTTACCTACTTCAAATTGCAGAAGCACATATTTACAAGGTCAAGTAAGGGGGGTTTCTGCTCTAGCGACCAAATTTCGCTTCAGCGACAATATTATACATGATTTATTTAAAGAAGACGCCATTTGAAAACGCATCCACCTCCCAAAAATGGGACAAATTGTTGCTTAAAAAATGTTATGTCAAAGAATCGTATGTGAGTAAGATCTTATAAATACTTTAAAGGGTACAAACGGTTTTAAATTGTGAAAATTCTGGTGGTGTCACTGTTGGCCCACAATAGTTCCTATTTAATTTATACTACGGTTCCCTGAATGGAACTCTCATCCTTGACCATTTTACTAATAAAGCCTAGTACTCACATCGACGAAAACCGCCAGCTAATTATAGGAGTGCTCACTAGAAGAGGTAAATACGCGGCTAGCGCTTTTTGTCGGGTCTGTCTTTTAACGCGGTACTCAGATTAGCAAAGAAATCATCAGAAAAAATTCCAGATTTAGCGATTGAATTTCGATGAAGGCCGTTAGCCGCGGCCCAAAGAATAAGAAATTTAATATTTCGAGGGGTTCGTGCATAAGCGGTGTGGAATTTAAAATTTATAAATGGAAGGAAAACCCTTAAAACACATGCAGGAGGTTAACGCAGATGAAAAAGGACGCGTAGTCCAAGCTGTTGCCCATTATTGTGGGACTTCACCGACAGAAAGCAATATCACAACAGGACAAAACCGCAGAATAGTTGAATAGGTCGAGGAGATCCACTACAGAATCCCAGTCGGAAGGAACATGCCGAGTGGGACTTCGCTCCCAACGTCGACATCCTGCCGGGCGTGTCCTCGCAGAGAAAGTAAGTTCTTGTCAAAAGAATTTGGTTACGTTGCACTAATATCCTACTAGTACTAGTATCTTTTTAACAGAACCACCAGAACGATCTCCACTGGGGAATCACAGGACTTCACCTCCACCAGCTATTTGGCAGCTAAAGCGGAGATGGAGGACGCGCTGGATTCTATACGGAGGAGGAAAAAAGGGAGCCCGCTAAGGGACAGCTGGAGGAGCCATTGCCAGGATGCTGGGCGACTAACTGCAGCAACAGGCGGAACAACTCCGTTCCCAATCCGGCTCGCACTTCCTCAAGGTCCAATATGCCCATAGGGACTCGAAGCTGGACTACAGATGGTGCGGGAAAGGTGGCGAAGCATCCGTGAGACGAGAGGGAAGCCTTAAACTTATAATTTACATAGATAAAAATATTCGTTGAGCATTTGATTTATTATACCCGTTACTCGTAGAGTAAAAGGGTATACTAGATTCGTCGGAAAGTATGTAACAGGCAGAAGGAAGCGTTTCCGACCCCATAAAGTATATATATTCTTGATCAGGATCACTAGCCGAGTCGATCTAGCCATGTCCGTCTGTCCGTCTGTCTGTCCGGATGAACGCTGAGATCTCGGAAAAGATGAGAGCTAGGCTATTGAGACTTGGCGTACCGATTCCTGAGCTTCTTACGCAGCGCAAGTTTGTTTCAGTAGACTGCCACGCCCACTCTAACGCCCACAAACCGCCCAAAACTGTAACTCCTACAGTTTTGATGCTAGAGAGAAAAAACTGAAATGTATTGTTCTCATCAATACCTATCGATTGAATTAAAAAAAAGTTTGCCACGCCCACTTAAACGCCCACAAACCGCGAAAACCTGTGATGCCCACAATTTGCATGCTAGATAAAAACTTTTAACTGAAATGTATTGGTGTCGTCAATACCTATCGATTGATCCAAAAATAAATTTGCCACGCCCACTCTAACGCCCATAACGCTTAAATCTGTCTACCGCCGGTAGGTGGCGCATTTTAATCTCGCTTTGCTGCTTACATATCTACATTTCCCTTTGAGTAACGGGTATCTGATAGTCGAGGTACTCGACTATAGCGTTCTTCCTTGTTTTTTTTAGTTTTTTTTATGTTATTTTAGATGTACCAACTTGGACTTTAGGAATAGATATATTTTATTTTGGGTAAATTACATATCAAAGTTTTTAATAAAATATCAAATAACAATAAAAACAGGAACACAATAAGCAATTCACTTTGAATCAAAGTGTGTACTCGAGAAAAGGATTTTTCATTATATTTTTAAGAATATGGTGAGTGCTTTCCATATAAATGCAAATGTTCGATAAATAGATTTGAGTTTTACTGTTCAAAGATCCCCAGATAATTATTTATTTATGACGCAGTATATTTAGCTTATCGCTACTTTTACATTTGTCTGGGGAGTCTAGCCACTTACAATGTTTGTACAGCAAAACTCTAATTAATTTATCATTTCTCCCTGTTTTAAAATAATCGCTTCACATATTTTGCCGGGGTTGAACTCCGACCTGCAATTCTCGCGGTTGAGCGACTAGACCCCTGGCCTACAGGCCTTTGACAACTTGCGTTAGTCAAATGCGACATTGAGCCCTTATTGCAGCAGACCACACGAAATGATTCACCAACACAACCAAAGAGCTTTACACGGACAACGCACACTAGCAAAATCGAAAATCCACATCGAAAATCCACACCAAAAATTTTGCCGTACATTCAGTTGTATGGCTGTTACGCATCTTGTTATTCTATGGTCTTTAATTCTTCCTTGTTTTTATTTATATTTCTTTGTGCACCAACAGACTCTTCATTTTTATGTTGCTCCAATTGATTTGTTTTACGTTTGGCAACAAGCCCAGCTGCTTGACATGTATGCCACATGTATTGCCAGTGAACTTTGAAAACTTCGGTCACACTACAAAGAATTAGGTTTTTCGACTAGTGAAACTCTTAGCCGATCTGAGTACTAGGCGTAAAGATATAGAAATCATTGGCCCATGAAAACTTTCCACATGCTAGCGCTGAAATTGTATTCAACTTGCGTTGTAATCCATTTAATTTTCAGGAAAATTACATTTTCGGCCCCTTCGCTTTCTTATTGTTTATGTCGATCAGCCGTTTTTGCTTCAAGGATTGCATGTGTGCAGAGGCTATAACTGTGCGTCGTTGTCTATTGTGGAGCTGTTAAACCATCTACTATAATACCTTTACTAACGATAGGTGGATGTGCAGCGGGTGTCATCAGTACCTACAGTAGCGTGATTAACAATAGTAAGAAAAAGTTAAAGGATAGAAATGGAATAGTTGTTTTTTTTTTTTCTCGAGGGTATCTATTATATATATGGCTCAGACTATCAATATCGGAAACATCGAGTGGAGGCACTATCGATGATCCTTACAGCTCTAGTCTTTGGTGGCCGGTAGATTAATTATGGGGTAACAAACTGTATAGAGACACCATTTGCTCTGCCGCTCTTCTTGAAGACTTTGCCAATGATGCCACCAAGGCAAAAAAAGGAAAATATCCCATGTTTTTAAATTTTCGATGTCACCTTGATATTTTTTCCTACGGTGAGTTTTATGCGAAATTATATATCTGCACCGCTCGCACTTACTGTTTTGCTTTTGAAATGAGTCTTCACCACTATTGCCGTTGCTTCGCACTAGTTGGGTGTGTTAAGAAGTCGAAGCTAGCTTCGAACTTGAACATGAATTGGCTCTCAGCTCTTGTTTGGGCAGAGCATATGGTGTCTCATTATGGTTAATTACTCTATGGATTAATATCTGTGGGAAGAAAATAAAGAGGTGTTTCACAATGTTTCATATTTCGTTAATTGCGCTATAATGTGTTCTGTGGGATAACATAACCACCCTTTTCCCATAGACTCCATTCTCTAGAGGCGGTTGGGATTTTAGAAAAATCTGACCCTCCGATTCCCAGAGTACCGCCACCATCGATACGAGCTGACCTAAACAGCTATGGCTGTGGGAAAAGGGTATAAGCAACTGCTTTCAAAGTCTTTTGCATGTTAAATGTCTCAGACTTTCGAAACGTGCCCCAGAACGATTCGGAGAATACTAAAAACAAATAAATCGAACCCAAATAAAAAAAGAGTGTAATGCTGCAGCTATAAAAAAAGCTAAGTTACTTTAATCCAAGGTAAATGCTAAGCAGAGATTGTGCTCGAACATAAAAGTGGCCAGAACTTTGTCCCAAAACCTGGGATAAATGTTTTTGTTTTTACGAAAATGAAAAAAATTAAATTCTATGACGTCTGCGACTTTAGGTAAAATACATATGTCAATTAAGTATAAGAGCTTTGAGTCAGGAGGTCAGTAGCGAGATTTGCACGTAGGGCTGACAGTGCATTTAAAAAAACAATTAAACTTTAACCACACGTACTCGTGTGACGACAGACTAATGGAAAAAAAAACAAATTACATTTGGATAAACGACAAAAAATTCAACGTTGTTGTTCGCTTGTTTCGCTCTAATTTGAAGGCAACAGCGGCACAAAGAGGAATCTGCGTGTGACTATGAGGGTTTACGCATGTGGCCACAGGCAAGCTTTGTATTCTTACATCAGAGGTGTTTGAACTGGCATTACAGCGGTGCTTTGTTAATACATAAATATTTAAAGAACAAAAACACAAAATTTGGGTTCCAATGCATTGATAATAACTTTTTGAAGCGTCTCCCCACTGTGCATATGGACAATGTACATTCATACACACATTCAAAATAATCATTTACTAAGAGAGTGACAAGTCAAAAGACACGATTCTTAAGATAACGGTTCATAAATGTTCTGTGTTCACCTTCTATATCATTTCTTTTTTAATACAAATAGCGTGGAACATTTTAATTTTTGTTCGCTTTGGTAAAAGAGCTATGGAGCTTGAAAACTAAATGCGTTTATCTCGAAATGCTGTTTCTTGAAAAAGAGCGATGAGCATCTACAAGGTCTTTAGTTCATTAGGCAAGAGATAAAACAATGCCATGACGAAAAATTCAGTTTGGTTGTCAATGTTTAGTCGGGTTATGAATAGTAGCTATTCAAACTTGAATTACCAATCATAAGTATTTTCTTTCCCTTCATAATAATTTGTAAATCCGATTCTGTTCTCGGTCCGTTGTAAGTTGGATGTACAGTGATGGTCCTAGTGAGCAACGAATGGCTGACAAATAATGATCACCAGAAACCAAGCCCAGCATCGCCGACTACAGCACCAGTAGCAGTCGGAGCCATAGCATTGAGCAACATAACGGATATAGACACGGAACTTCCTGAGACGACCAAACCTGAAACCGGGGGAGGACTATCGACTATCAAGCGAAAGAAGGCCCAGTACGCCGCAAGCATGGAAGCTGGAAAAAAATTTGAGCAGGACCAACTTTTCCAGATAATGGATATGAACGAACTCATTGCGACTGGCAGAAACAATGAGGAGGCGATTGAGAATCAGGAAAATAACAACATGCAAGTCTGTTACTCTAATACAAATACATTGCAGGGTGTATCCAGTCTCGACCGTCGTGCGACTGCGCAGATGCCAGCTGCTGTCTCGCAGCAGGTGCTTAACTTGGCCATGAAGTCCGTGCTGAATGCAAACAATTCCGGGGTCGGTGTTGGAGTAACAAGTGTTAGCAGTCTGTTAAGTTCCCTGGGCGCACTAAACAGTAGTGCTTTACAATTGGAACAGGCGAAGGATTGTGGCACTTTGCTGGTCGCTTCGGTTGATTCAACGGCCCCTGTCGACTTAATCAAAACATTGGAGTCGGCCACAACTTCAAGCACGGGTGATGCAAAAATAGTTTTACAGTGCGAGGCCAAGTCGCATAAATTCGACACAAGATCCATACCTTTGCAGCCGAACAAGGATTGCAAGGTAGGCCGCCTTATAGCCAAAAGCAAGGCGAGTGAAGGAAACGCGATTTTTGACTGTAAGGTTTTATCAAGAAACCACGCAATGCTGTGGTACACTCCGGACGGTCGTTTCTGGGTCAAAGATACAAAATCTAGCAACGGTACCTTTATCAACGACAACAAGCTGGGTAATGATCCGGCAGAACTTCATTCCGGGGACACCGTCAAGTTCGGAGTTGAAGTGATTGAGAACTCTCGGCAGGAGGTGCACGGCTGTATTATTGCCCGTGTCTCCCTCTTTCTACCAGATGGCCGAGAGGCTATTTCGATAGACGCGGGTCAGATGCTGTTGTCCGGGCATAACCGAATTAGCTTTGACGAAATTCAACGCCTAAATTCCTTCCTTCAGGAGGCTGCGCAGCGAGAGAAGACGTTGAAGGCTAAGTTAAGCAGCTTACAAAGCGTTCTTGATACCACCCGAAAGAACTCTGCGTTGTGCTGGCAGAGTATGATAACTGAAGACCAGTTATTACACAAGATCAACTTATTGGAAAAGAAGCTGCAGGTGATGGAAAAGAACGTTCCAGAGAATGCACTTCGAAACGAGGTATGTCAAACAGGTTTGTTGTGATCAGATCGTTGATACTTTTTCTTTGTTAATCGTAGATTGTGAAGCTTCTTGAGGATAAAACCGCATACCAGTTGACTGCCAAAGAGGCCCTGCGAAAGGTTTACCAGGAACGGTGCGATGCTATCCAAATGCTCTCTAAGATGGAAATGGCCTACGCCACCTCAGAAAACGAGTGCGGCATATTGCGTGCTCAAGTCTTAACATCGAAGCAGACAATGCAGGACTTTAATGCTCGGTTAGAGCAACTTCAGCAGGAGTACACGGAGTACAAGCAGGAATCATTGCGGCAGCAACAAGAGGCTAAGGAACAGGAAGATCACAATTTGGAGCTCCTTAAGGAGAAGCTGATTACACAAGAGCACGAAGTTGAGGAACTTCGTCTACAGGTTACTCAGCTCCAACAGTTCCTTGCCGAGCATGATAGTGAACAATTGAAGGAGAAAGATGTCTTGAATCAATTAGATGCAATCTTACCCAACGATGACGAATATAATAACAAAGGTCACGGGCCGGACGGAAAAGAGAATCAAAAAAGTTATATTCAGAATCGTTTGTCTGCAACACAGGATCATTTAATAATGGACCTCGATCAGCATACAGCAGAGTCAGCAACACAAAAGGTAACTATTTAAAAGTCTGTTTATAATTTATAATTCATAAATTCCCATATCATTACAGGATAAGCTGAAATTAAGTGAATTAGACTTGGAAAAAATCATATGCAATTCAAGCGTCATAAAGTTGCTAAAGAATTCTGATCTTTGCAAAAGCGAAGACGGCTCAGCAGTGTTGAAAGCCATTTTTAGCGATGACGATGAAGATTCCGAATGCGGAATTAAGGAGGGAAATGGAAAAATGCAAGCTTCAAATGTTGGAACAGATTTAGTTCTAAGCGGGTTCGATTCGGGTATCAAGCGCGAGACAGCAGAAACCGTAGAAGAGTTTGTCCGAAATTATTCAAGGGATGAACGACTCAATGGAATTAATGAAATGTTTGAGAAATCGGCTGCAAAGAGCTCCTCGGCTCACAAATTAGAAAGCCAGAACACGCTTGTGCGCGTTGAGGAAAATCTTTATAATCCATCTGACTTTCCCACAGAGTACGCCCTAGAAATGCTACAGGAGGAATGTCATACATACAAGAGAAAGACGGAGCACTTGACTGTTGAAAATCACTCCATGCGCGAGCAGATCGATCTCCTAAGGAAGCAGCTACAGCAAGAGGTTACGCACGATGCAAAAACAAAGTTGGAGGAACTCAGAAATGAAAAAAGGCAAGACGATAGCCAAAATAAGACAGAGAATGACTGGAAGGAGGACATGGCAGCCATGAATAACTCGCAAGTGGATCAGGAGGAGGAACTTATTGTTTACAAGGAACGACTTGAGCATTCGGAGCGTAACAACTTGGAGCTTCGTAAAGAAATATCGGCTCTGCACCTTGATCAGCAGCACATTCCACCTATAAAACAAGTGCTACTGCACCGTGTTTTACCTCTTGGCTGTGTCGCCATTGCTCTTCTCATCTATTTATTTTACAACCAAATTTGAGTTGTAAAATTTTTCAACAATTCACTTATAAAAATTAACAAATTAACTCGCAAGCGAAAAGCTATTGTAGCGATTTGAATGATAGTACACATCGAAATGGCAGTATATTCAGAAAATAGTCATGTTCTCATCAAGCTTTATTATATTTTCCTTTCCTTGTTTTCAAATTGACACCGAGTGTAAAATTAAAGTCGTAATTTTGAACTACAAAAATTTTACCTGAAGGCGGCAATCTTAGCAAATTTAGGTATTCTTGCGTGAATAAGCTCGACCACTTATACAGCTTTATGTAAGAAACTGCAGTCAAAACTACAAAATATATTATTCAGCTCATTTATGTTTATGCTTAATATTAATTTACGTATTTATCTGTTTTAGTTAAATTATCGAACAAATCAGAATATTTCAAAATAGTTAAACCAATTTAAGTAAATGGTGAAAAATAACCATCACATTCTTTTCATTTGAATTAAATAATTCAACGATGGGTGATATAAGAAAGGAATCATGATCTGCTCGCAGTAGAGCTGGGAAAAAATCGATTCTCAGTGCATCGATTCATTTCCATCTTTTGAAAAAACATCGATTAAATGAAAAAAGCCTACTTTTCTTTTATTTATTGATTAATTTAATAAATAAATTGTTCATATTAGGAGAACAAATATATGAAAATACATTTCTATAAAAAAAATAACAAAAAAAAAATTTGTTTACGAAGCGAAAATTAATTCAACTTCAGTTTAATATTAATGAATCCAACATATTAGAGAACAAAAAAATATGAAAATACATTTCTATGAATTAAATAACATAAGCAAAAGAAAAATTTGTTCATGACTAACATGTATATTTTATAGGCTTCGATATTGGTGATACTTTACTGGACATATGTATGTTTGTACATATGGATAAACCTGCAAAATTCCAAGCTCTAACTTCGCGAAACACGTCGATGTTTAGAAATCGAATGCATCGACCCGAAAAAAAAATCCATGTAATCGATGTTGACAATTGATTAATTCTGGCTCAGCCCAAAACTGTTTTTGCTTTTTTCGGTTACCAAATAATGGATCGTGTAAAAATAACTTTTCGCTAAGGACTAACTAACTTTGGAAAACTCCATCAACCGCCGTGTAGAGTGGAGATAAAGAACACATTGTCATTGGGCTGCAGCTCATAGTCTAGTTCACCCTGGAAATTTATTTATATAGAAAAATATTCTTTAAATTTCCTGATTTTAACTAACCAGGAGTTCCCAGTCTGTGTCATATATAAGGACCAAAATTCCAGATCGTCTGCAAGGAACAATTTTGAACAAGTAATTGTAAACGGTAATAATTTTAAACTTACACGGTGTCTCCTTGAAGAAAGAGTTCTGGTCGTTCTGTTAAAATATTGGCATGCATCCACTTCAGCAGGTTGACAATAGTCCCTTAAAAAATATATTATTGAATTAAAAATTATTAAAATTTCCCAGAACGATTTGAGAACTTACATTTTTGACTACTATATAAGGATAGTTGAGGTCGTTTGATATAACGGCCCGTTTAAAAATAATAAACAAACGTAGTTCTTTTTGTTAAGCGTTTGAAAAAGTATTTAAACTTTTATCAACAACTCAAAACAACATACTTAAACTTACTAACCATTATATTAAAAGTAAGTAATGATGGAAAGTTCCAATGAAAAGCCACTTGCCTCCGGTGCGGGCATTGAATTCGTGCTCGATATGATCTCCATTGATGCCGAGGACCGACAAACTTTCGAGGAAGATGCACATCATCAAGGAGAAGATTACTATATAAGCCGTCGGAAGATTCAGGACTGGTTACGCGACAACGTCAGCGAAGTAATTCCGGTAATAAAGTACATACACTGCGAAGGCGGGCGAACCTACGAGCTGAAAAGCATAAGCGGAGGGCATGTAGCCCACACCATTAAGGATGTATGCTTATCCAATCCCACTCAAAGATCTGCTTCGACTTTGTGTCAGCTTTCAAATTTTTGGCATCAGAGTGGCTCCATGTTTTTCCCCAAAACCCGAATGAGGATCGCAGCTGGTACGCCGTGCCCTGTAAAATCCGAACTCCCAATGTTCCGGATGATCCACATTCTTTCATCGTCTGTGCTCCTCACTGGAAGCGAATGGTCCTGAGCAAGAAGCAGAACCTCAAGGGCGGATTGCGGCTAATGAAAGCTTTAGGGGATGCCAATGATATGCCAATGATCTCCAGTTACACAATCAAGAGTCTCTTCTTAAAAAAAAGAATGATAAGATATAATCAATCGCCAGGACTATTTCTAATTTGAGTAAGTGCTCTTGACTACTAGAGTTGAACTTTTATATTTATGCTTTTAAATCAGGCGATTCTCCTTATGACAAAGTTCCTACGGAGGGGATTTCTTCCGTTTTACTTGGTGCAGGATGCTAACGTTTTGGAGTACTTTGGCCAGGAACAAAGAAGGGATTATGTTCGAAAACTATACCGAATCGTAAGGCGACTCATAATGTGTCGGGATATGAAACGCAAGAGTCCAGATAATATGCAGTTTATTTTTGGAATGCAGTACTGATGACGAAGTTTGTTATATTGCCATATCTAGTTTGTTTTCTAAGAAACCAGAAGATATTTCAAATGTTCTAATGTTATCATCGAATTCTTTCAGTTCTAGCTCTCAGAACCCATATATATTTAACTTTTCTATGTAGAAGAGGTTCCCTTAAGTGTCAGTAAATTTTCTTTTGCTTTTGTCGGCTTTTGGAAGAGTGAGCTCAGATTCAATTGGAAATCAATGGATTTGTGTATCCCAAGATTTTAACATAGTGCTCGGGATCGTCAGAAAAGGCGGGATCCACGAAAAGGCGTCGCTTGTTGACCAGAAAAGAGGTAAACATGCCGGGAACCTCTGGAACAACCACATCGTTGGGTCGGAACTTCGTCTGGAGAAGAAATGCCATATTAGCTGGAGATGTTAGCCATTACCACCCATGTTCCCACCTTGATTTTTTGCAGAAGTAGGCTAAATTGTAGTGGCTGTGTTCTCCTCCGTTTGGGGATTATAGTGCAGTTCCGTCACATAGTTCTTGGTGATGAAGTGCAGCAGCAGTGGGGTGACAAAGGTGAAGAACTCACCGACGGTGCAAAGAGGATCTGGAGAGGATTAGGAAGTCTTCAACCGAGGAAAGGAGTTGAAGATCAGACAAAAAAGGCAAAACAAAAAATACAACAGGCAATGTGAGGCCTTTGAAAGAAGATATAAAAACAAGTTAGATTACATTCATTAAATTTCTGCGGCTAAGTTAAGAAGAAAATTTCTTCCGTGCCCCGGATCCTAAAATTCACGAAACGAGGATGAGAAACGTGAAGCCATAATTCAACCCCCGAAAATATAGATCTTACAAAAGAAAATAGTCGATCGCATCGTCTATTAAATAGCCGCTTAACACTCTGCGTAAGGGAGTGCGAGAGGGATGGAGACATGCTTAAAGCCACTCTGCATTTTTCAGTAACACACGTAGCCTATAGCGCAACCTATCTTCTCCTATAGCGCTACCTGGCCTTTGATCTGTTTGACAATGAATGCACTGGCTACATTGATGTCAAAGAGCTAAAGGTGGCCATTAGAGCTCTGGGCCTTGAGCCCAAAAAGGATGAAATCAAGCGAATGATCGCCGAGATTGACAAGGACTGCAGCGGACGGATTGTGTTTAATGACTTTCTATACCTGATGACTATGAAGATGGCTGAAAAGGACACTAAGGAGGAGACTATGATGACGACGAGACAGGAAAAATGTCCTTTAGGAATCTGAAAAGGTTTCTAAGGATCATAAAAAAGACCAGTTTGTATTGCAGATCCACCCAATAAAAATGTATAAGCTTAATCAAAATTATTTTTTTTCTTTAAATCAAAGCAACCCAGTCGTAAGTTGCGGATCGTGTTTTAAAACAACATAGTTCTGGGTCGTACCTTTTTTACGCAAAACAGCACGCATGCAAATTTTCCAAGGCAAATGTGCGTGCTGGGTGCATTCTATTGCGGTGCCTTCTAGAAGTGTTTCAGAATAATGCATCCAGAAGCATGCCCAAACACCCGTTTCGGGAACGTATTCCGAAAGAAATAGTTCTGGGTCGTATCTTTTTTACGCAAAACAGCACGCATGCAAATTTACCCAGCAAAATGTGCGTGCTGGGGGCAGTCTTTTGGGTGCCATCTGGGTGTATTTCAATATAGTGCATCCAGGTGCATTTTAGTGGGAATGTAAAAAAACCAAACTCAAACCCGAAGGTTGCCGATGCGCATTTTTTTACAATCGTCTTTTTTCGGAACTGTTCTCTTGACAAACAAATAATAAAGACAAAGGGAACATGCAAGGAAGCGAGCGGTTTTTCTTGTCTCTTGCATTTCTCGTCAGTTGCATTTTTAGTTCTGAAAAGTGAAGTTCGTGCCACGTGTTTTGAAAAAGTGTGTTGCTTTCTGCCACCAATTTTACATCAATATTTTCACAGGTAAGTAAAGTGTAGATGAACACAATAAAATAACACAGTACATGTACACTGAACATTCAAACTAAAAACATATTAAACAAATAAAATAATAACTATTTGTTTGTAAATTGTACATACAAAATAAAAACAAGGAAGAACGCTATAGTCGAGTACCTCGACTATCAGATACCCGTTACTCAGCTATATGGAGATATGCAAGCAGCAAAGCGAGATTAAAATGCGCCACCTACCGGCGGTATACAGATTTAAGCGTTATGGGCGTTAGAGTGGGCGTGGCAAATTTTTTTTTGGATCAATCGATAGGTATCGACGAGACCAATACATTTCAGTTAAAATTTTTTATCTAGCATGAAAATTGTGGGCGTCACAGGTTTTCGCGGTTTGTGGGCGTTAAAGTGGGCGTGGCAAACTTTTTTTTGGGTCAATCGATAGGTATTGATGAGAACAATACATTTCAGTTAAAATTTTTATTCTAGCATCAAAACTGTAGGAGCCACAGTTTTGGGCGGTTTGTGGGCGTTAGAGTGGGCGTGGCACTGTGCTGAAACAAACTTGCGCTGCGCAGGAATCTCAGGAATCTGCGTGCCTAATCCCAGTATTGTAACTCTCATAGTTTCCGAGATCTCAGCGTTCATACGGACAGACGGACAGACGGACAGACGGACAGACGGACAGACGGACAGACGGACAGACGGACATGGCTAGATCGACTCGGCTAGTGATCCTGATCAAGAATATATATACTTTGTGGGGTCGGAAACGCTTCCTTCTGCCTGTTACATACTTTCCGACGAATCTAGTATACCCTTTTACTCTACGAGTAACGGGTATAATAATGTATATTTGTAATGTATATACACATATTTCAAAATATATTATATTCAATTTGCTTTATATTTTTCAGAACCGCAAAAAATGAATGGGCACACCAAGGACTGAACTGCGTAAATGACAGAGTTACTTTAATCGTTTCTTTAAGTTAATATAATAAAGTCAATAATAAAAGTCAATAAATAAAAGGTAAATATACGAATAAATAAGAAAAACGCATTTTTTAATCATATGCCCATACATTTTATCAGAAGCGTTGGCCAAGGACTCCGAGGACCCGGACTCATGTTTGAGAAAGGCGATGACGAACGTGAAAAACAAACTAACAAAACAAAAAATTAAAAATACACTTGGCCCTCGCTTAGCATCCTCGTGTTAAGCGAGAAATCCTCGAGTTAAGCGAAATCGTGTTAAGCGAAACATGGATTCAGTACAAAATACGGGGTTTCGTTCTTAGAATCAATCAATCAATCAAACTTGGTCTGTTTTTATTAAAGTTTCTTTTAATAAATGCATAACATTCAAACTTTCAAAATTAAAAGTTGGTATTAAATTAAAAAAGTTTCTTCAAATAATTAATTAACAGGTTAAACTTTAAAGGAACTTTAAAATGTTAAAAAGTAAGGAGATCATATGTTTCTAACCATATCCAATTTGAAATGCATTTGGTGGCATTGATAGTTTAAGCCAGTTTGTTTTAACATGTTTTCTTTTTTGGTGGCTCCTTATCAAAAATATCAGTTTTTTTCGTGTAAGAAGGAGGTTTTTAGCGTGTTAAAAGGGGGATGGGAGCAAATTTGTAACCGTGTAAGACCGAGTTCGTGCTAAAAGAGTCCGTGCTAAGCGAGGGCCAACAATTGTCCCTTAATTGAAAATCTGAATAATTCGATCTAATTAAAATGAATTTAAATTACTAATACATACATCTATACCTAATCATTGAACGCTGCTCTGCCGGCGTCTCTGGCGGCGCAGCTACACTCTCAGTAGCTGTACAAGGTATTGTAATAGAGTTAAGAATTCATTGAATGAATATATATATATCACATGGCGACCGTGACTTGGTGGATCGGAATGCATCCACGGACATAGGACCAGGAAACATCCGCCGTCTACAGCTCAACTCGCGATTAGAAGATTAGCGCGGAAGACGAGAATGGTCCAAACTGAATAAAAGTTAACGGAAATCAACAGGATCGGCACGACGGCTTGGATGAAAAAAAATAAAAAAGTCAGAGTGAGTAGAGTGTGAGGGATGGGGTAGATGCGGAGGTGTCGAACAAAAAAATTAGGAAAAGAGTTGCGCACAAAAAGTGGCAACTCTATACAAACACACCACCTTCCGCGTGGGCAACAACCCTAAAAATAACATGCAGAGCTTGATCATTTAAAATTAAGTCTCAAATATAAGCGCCACATATCACAACTCACTCAGCAAAAATGAAAATTATAAAAGAACGAATTTTATTAAAACATTCAAAAACATGTGCCTCAACGACCAGCCGATTGCCCTGGACCACTGGAAAGCATACACTGTAACCACACATGTGCGATGACCGGCACCGGTACCGCCTGAGCCCAGAAAAGTAATAGTACAGGTAAATTCAATCAAAGTAATGAGATAAGTTATATAAGCACAATGGGATTGATCGATACGAAAACAGTGAGCTCCACTGCAAACGTGATTAATAAAATAGAATGGACAAATATCGATCCCCATTTAACAAATATATTGTTATTGATAATTGTCATAATTTTGTGCGGATATATACTTTATAAAGCATACCTGTTACACAATAGGTGTATAACAAAAAGGGCCCTAAGCCATGGAAACGATCTAAATAAGATCTAAATGCATACGCACAACATTATGATAATTATAACAAAAATATATATTCAAAGATCTTGACATAAATATAGTGACGTGCCTGCACTGCGATTTCTCAACGGCCACCAGTTGAAAGATCGAAACCGTTTATAAATAAACAGAATCGCCAATTTCGGCTTTGATTAAAAACGATACAGAAGCTCGAGATCCCGCATTGCAAACAAAAAAAGAAAATTGATTAAGTCCGAACGTCAACAATGACGTAATTCAATAAACGTAAAAATCCAATAAGATCGCAAAATCCAATAAGACCGAATTATGTAAACATAAACAAAGAAGTGACGATCGCATCATCCACCTGCGATTGCGTCACCTAGAGCATGCACTAACAGTAAATTCTAAGACGCAAGCCGAGGTTTCATTCTAACCAATTCTCTAACATACAATTAGTCTTTTTCCAACGTTCTAATAAAAAATAACCAACGAATATAAAAAATCTTCTAAAATTTTTATTCGGGCGAAGAACGACTCATGTAAATGGCGCAGTCGGTAGGATCTCTTTAAAAAATATCCTTGCGAAAAAAAAACAAAGTCGGGAGCTTACTGATCAATTAAAAGGATATTTCTTAACTACTAGGATATCCAGATCAGCGCGTGGAATTGCCCACAAGTAAGCAATTTATTCGACTAGCTCGGAAGTGCAACTAAGAGATCCGCAAAAGAACCTAAGTGCAAATTAAAGGCACTGAACAAATATTATAATAAATTAAACTTCAATCGACTACTGAATAAATCCAATTTGGTCAGTAATAAAGTTGAGTGGAATTTAATTAAACACAACAAAACGGACCAAGAACCACCAGCTCAAGGGCAACCACAAATTGGTGTGGCACCCAACCCATTGACGGAGCAAAACTTAAATCAACTTTTGTCCCAGATCCGGAATATTCCAACGTTTGAAGGAGATCCATCTACCCTAGGAACCTTTGTCAGAAGAGTTAACTACCTTTTGCGTCTGTATCCTACAACCCATGATCGACATACAAGCGTTATATTTGGAGCAATTGAACTTCAAATCACCGGTGATGCCCAGAGGATTCTGCAAGTTCTACAAGTCAACAACTGGCCAGATCTTAGAGCAGCCCTAGTCGACGAGTACAAAACGCAAACACCTGTGGAGGAACTATTAAGGCTATTATACTATACTAATTTTCAAGGTAATCTAAGAAAATTTTGTAACGAGATCGAGATTAAGCAGTTAGTTATAAGCAACAAATTAGAACTTGAAGGAAATCCAAATTAATTAATATTGTACACAGAAGCAATGTTTAGGACTACAAAAAACCTAATACAACGAAAATTACCTGACAGAATTTGTATGACATTAGCAAGAAGCGATATTTCAACAGTACTTAAACTGAAACAAGCGGCTCAGCAAGAAGGGCTATACGAAGAAAATGAAAATTTAAAACATTATAACATCAATACTAATAAAATTCAAAAGCATGATCAAACAAATTATACACGTAACCCCTACCCTTACACTAATTTGTACAACACCCAACAATTTAATCCTGGCCCAGCTCTTTCAATTCAACCACACCACAACCAACCCCAAAGAATGGTTCCACAAAATTATAGGTTCCAATCGAATAACAGAAATAATACTTTTGACCAAAATAGGGGAAGTTACCAAGAGTTTCGAAGAAATTTAATTCAGGG